AAGCGCGCGTTTAGTACCAGGGAGATGAGAGGCCATTAGTCCTGGTTCTTCAAGCTCTCTAAAAGGGTCGAACAGAATAAAATGCACTTAGCCTAGCTACTTCGCTCAAAGGATCCTGAAAGAAACAAGATTATTTTGCTCGATAGACACCATCTTTCCGTTTTCTATTCGCTTTTGATATAGGCATTTAATAGGGTTAAGTGACTTATACGACGATAAGCTTAGCAACAAATTCGCTAAAATTCAATCTCATATGATATTGGTTTTAGTTGATAGTGTTTTTTATATATCTATACATATAATAAAATTGTGACTAAGCCGAATCTGCATATTAAATATTTTTTGGAAAATGTTATTGAAATAGAAATTATTATCGATATAGAGGCCGAATCTATAGTTTTTAGAATTTTTGTCTGTCTGTCTGTTACCGCATCACAGAAAAACTACTGGAGGGATTTTGATGAAATTTAGTATGGTGATAGCTGGTAATTTGGGTCAACATATAGGATACTTTTTATCGCGGGAAAGTGTCTCATTTCTGAGAAAAAATACAAAAACTGCAATATAAGAGTATAGTAATATGTAAAACTTAAGAATTTGGTTTTTGGTCATCGGAACGCGGGCGGAGCCGCGGGCTATGCTAGTTTGGTTATATTACTGTACTAGCGACATAGGGTTCCTCTAGTATTTATTATTTATTATGTTATATAAACGCATCACCACTTTTTGGTACTAATAGTATCTTAATTTAGTACACAGATAGCCTATAACCCGGAGTTATAGGCTATTTGTGTACTAAATTGACAAAGAAGAGAAACGATACAGATGCACATACACACACAAACACACACACACAAACACACACAGGCGCACAGAAACACACACGAACAAGCACAAGCACATGCGCAATTATGATAAACTCTGAATTTCACAAAAAAAATCTATAAATAGCCTACCATTAGGAAAATAACCTTTATTTTAATATTTTTTGTAGTCGGTATGGTATATATTTCAAAAAATCGAGTTTCGACTACCTTTGACAAAATGTTACAAAACGAGATTCAATTTCAAAGAATATAATATTATAATCTATCTTAGAAAATTACATTTACACAAATCTTCATTTTTAAACACCTATTCAAAGATACAAGTTTATATGCAATAAAATTTTATTTTCACCATCTGTAACTTGTATAGAGTATCTATATTATATGTTCAAATTTTTTTTTATAATTTGACTACATCATTGTGAGAGACCTACCTTTTCCGCTGTCACAAAAATTATGCCACTGATTCATAAGAAATTACTCAAACCTCTTTCACTTGTACTACTTAGAGTAAAATGGTTGTGACATACCGATAGATAGACAGATATGACAAAAATTATAATGGATCCCTTATAGCCTTTTTCAATAAGGAGGAGGTTCTCAATTCGACTGTATTTTTTTCTGTTACCTTATAACTCCGTCATTTATTAACCGATTTGGACAATTTTTGTGTTGTTTGAAAGTGTATACTTCCAGATTGGTCCCATTTAAATTTCAAAAAAAAATACCACCCCAACGCCAGTCGATACAAAGCAAAGCACTTACTTCGAAAATATTTGATTAGCTATGTATAGTATATGAAAACTACCAATAAGTTATTTTTTACTTTTTAGTGCTTTTGTTTGAAGTCAATTTTTATTTTTTGTTAAAAAGTTTTATTATTAAACGTTATGAAATTTTCAATATTATTTTCTAATCTGGTTGAACAATTTTTCTTCATTTAGCAAATATTTGAAGAGGGCATAAACTTTTTGCCTTTCGCATTGAAAATTAATGAATACCGTCAAATTATTATAACATTACCTGACGTTCCTGTCCAATCAGAACATCGTCGTGAAAAATGGTTCACAGCATTAATATTCGGCAAACCTTCATCTCTGTTTGATGGATGATTTCAATCAACGAGTTGGATGTTCGATATATAATACGAGATTGCGACGAATTTTTTTTCACAATCGACTTCCACTTTTTGTTAAGTTGTGTATTATGTTCAGATTTTGTAAAGAATTTAGTACGTTTTTACACTAAAGAATATTTTAAAATATGTTTATTAGAAAACTGCAACAAAGAATGTTATAAAATTGGTGTTTACTTCAAAATTTGCATACTTAGGCTTTGACTTCACGCGGTACTTAATCTATACATATAATAGAATTGTAACTATGCCGAATCTGTACAATGTACATGAAATATTTTTTGTAAAATAAATGAAATAGACATTATTCCGGATACGGAGGTCGAATCCATAGTTCTTAGAATTTTTGTCTGTCTGTCTGTCTGTGACCGCATCACGGAAAAACCACTGGAGGGATTTTTATAAAATTTGGTATTATAATAGATGGTTATCCAGGTCAACATATAGGATAATTTTTACTGCGGGAAAATATATCATCTCTGAGAAATCTATACTAAATATTAAAACGTAAGTAGGGATGAACCCGGATGGAGCGAGGGTTGAGTCGCTAGTTGATATTATTATATAAACATCAATTGCCGTTCGTTAGTCTCGCTTTATCATTATTCTTGAGAGTTTTTGCTTCCGTGATGTATAATATTTCTAAGAATATTTTTGTGTATTAAAAATTTGCTAAGCACTTGTTGGACTTGAGCACAGATGGTTTAATGAGTAGGGTCGGCAGAAAAACGCTGCTTGATAAGGTATATCAAACTAGTGCACTGCATAAAATATGGTTGTAAATAAATTAAAATAATGTATGGCAAATATGTAAGTAGACCTCTAATATTATAAATGCAAAATTGTGTTTATTGTTCTGTCCTCCTATAACGCAGCAACGGATTAAAAATAATATTAATAATAAACGGATTAACAGAATTTTCAGAAAATAAATAGTTCGACTACTTATCCTAGTATGTATTAAGCCCTTTTTAACGTCCCACTGCTGGACACGGGCCTCCCTTCAGTACGAGGGGAATCAAACCATAGTCCTGGCCAAGTGTGGGTTGGCGGGCTTCACATGTCTTTTGAAAACTTGCTAGGTTCTCTCAGACATGCAGGTTTCCTCACGATGTTTTTCTTCACTGTTAAGACAAGTGGTAATCATGTTGGAAATAATTCGCACATGAAAATATCAGAGGTGCGAGACCCGGGATTTGAACTCGCTTCACTCGGTTTCCCAAGCGAGCGCGTTACCACTGGGCTACCATTGCCTTCTTATCCTAGTATATCAATATATTTTTTTTTAACTATATATTCTCAAAAAACCACGATTCAAAATAAATCAAACCAAAGCAAAAATTAAAATAAATCCGCGAAAAATCCAAAAAGATAGTTTTATTTAAAATGTCAAATACTCGTGCGATTTTAAGCTACTATATTATTTAGTTAGTTTTATAACTTATTTAGCAGAGGACAAAGTAACAGTTTTGGAGAATAATTATTCAATTCAATAACATAATTAAAACGTGAAATTTGATCATGTTTTTTGTAACTCGCCCTAAGTTAATTCATTTTATGAACTCTCTGACAACTTCACTGATAATTTTGTGAAGTTTAAATTATATTACTGTATAAATTGTACAATGACAGGTAAACGGGGTATTAATTAACTTACTATGGTCCAAATAGTCTTATCATTTGTATGAAAGATGAAGGTAAAGGAATATGGCGTATAATATGGATAATTTTGTTTGTGAATTACTTAAATTGAATAATTAGCTTTAAAGACACTACAAAAACACGCTTTAAATGAATTAAAATATATGGTACTCGTCAAAACAAATCATATGAGTTCAAACTCAAGGGGTTTACTAGTAGCTATTGAAGAGTTCCACAATCCACCACTTGGTTCCATTATCAGATCAGCTCAAAGGTATCAAATTATAGTATTCTTATCCGAACTACATGTGCAAAGTTTCATTTCAATACGACTCTTAGAAGTTGATTAAGTTTTGATTACATAGTTGCTAACAAAAGCGTTTTGAAATATATTACTCAAATTGATTGTACATAAGTAGAAAGACTAACAGGGTTTTTTTAGAAATAAAACAATATGTTCCTATACTTATACGCGTGTATTTGTATTAAAATATATACTTAATATACATATTACATACATACATACGTATACATATAATACTGTTATGATGTTCTCCTGACCGATTCCGGCCACGGCGGCCAATCTCATTGAGACTAGCCAACTGCGCAGGAGATATTATAGTGCAGCGCGTGTACGCGCAGACACAAGTGCACTCTCTATTCCTGTCACTCTCATACTCCGATGGGACGACTACTCGACACGACCGGTGAGAGATAAGGCGCAGGACCGACAGCTTTACGTGCTCTCCGAGGCACGGGGGTGAAACACCGCCAACTTCCCAACTCCGGGCTATTACTGAGTCTTTCTATACAGAAAGACTCAATAACTAAACTTGGCCCGACCCGGGACTCGAACCCAGGACCTCCAGCTGTGCAGCCGTTTGTTTTTATTATTGAATTTTTAACACATATGATGAATATTATATTTTAATAATAAGATATCAATTCTATATTTGTTAGCTTAGTCGATCTTCAAAATCTTGTGTGCCTATTTGAGGCGTTGTAAGAGTCCACCAGATAAATCGATTTTTGAAGTAAAACTTCTTTACGCACGCTTGACTTGGAAAGTAAGCTGGTGAATGCGTGACGAGAGCGTTACGAAAAGTGTGATCGGGCAAGGCGAACGTTTGTTACCATGGAAACCGTTGTTATTTTAGTATCATACCTATCCTAATTATTTAAAACATAAATTGAATTTCATAAAGAGTACCGATAACCTACAGAAGTTTACTTCTTGCGCGTGTACACATTCATACACGCACTCTTTAATTTTTTTACTACCATCTGTTTAATATTTTAATTATATCGTAAAATACGTCTTAAATTGTCATATATACTATAGTTTAAATCAGTTTTACATATATTATGATCAATAAAATAAAGCCATGCTTTCATTAGTTACATGGGAAAAATATCATTTGAGTAAGATTATAACCATCAATATTATTCGTATTTATACATGTATAATTAGGCCACACTATTGCTTCAATCCAGTCAATGAAATAACTGATTTTTGTGTAAATTCCTGGGGTGTCTTTACGAGCACATCCCAAGCCAAATGACGTTATTCCAACAATTACATGCATGTTGCCATCGAAATTTGGTTCTGTCAAATTGTACTGTAGAGGCGCTCCTGAGTCACCCTGGAAAATCCAAAAATAATAAATCAATTATAAAAGTATACACATAAATAATCTAAAATTATCTGATACAATTACATCAGCTACCATATCTCAATGGCGATATGTCAAAAATATATTGGTCAAGTTCGAGTCGGGCTTAATGAAAACGCTTATAATTTTCATATTAATTATTCTGTTTCCAAATTCTATGTTCAATAGTTCCGCAAATAAATCAAGGAGTTTGTCAAATTTAATTTTGTTAATATCATTCAAATATGCATTTTAAAATTAAAGTAAAAATTCGATTCTCTTTCTATTAACGATGATAAGTTCGTATAACATGTAGATTCACAGAAAATAGGCTGTAATATAGAGATGGACTTGGTTCTATGATGATCTCATCGTTGAACACTTATTAAATTATAACTAGTTTTAGTTAGTTATAATTATTGAAAATTTAGGTTTGTATGTATTTTTTAATGCCGAATTATAAAAAAATAAAAATAAAAATCTGTACAAAAAATTTTTTTTTGCGGTGGACCACCTTTATCACTTAGGGGTATGAAAAATAGTTTACGTCCTTTTGTCATACGTACTGAATATACACACAAAATTTCATAAGAATCGTTCAAGCCGTTTCTGAGGGGTTTTGTTACAAAAACTGTGACACGAGAATTTTATATATTAGATAATCAAATGAAAGATATACATATGAATGCTTTTGTATATACGAAGACAAATATTTTATTTATTTTACATGATGATGACAATATGAGATATTGTAGCGCACAAGTGTACGCATTGATACAACGTGCACTCTTTATTTCTGTTACTCTCAAATCCAATGAGACTCAAAACGACTGGAAAGAGATCGACAGCTTTACATCCTTTCCAAGGCACGGGGGTGTAATATCACCAACTTCCAACTCCGGGCTGTTACTGGGACTTCCTTAATAGAAAGACTCAATAACTAAATTTGGCCAAGCTGGGACTCGAACCCAGGATCTCCGGATGAACAGCCGTACATGCTAGCTACTGCACCACCGAGAGGAAGCTTAGGATTTTATTTATAGATTTAGTTACTCTTAGATTTAGTTACTCTTACTATTAATAATATATTTTCAAAGGACGATAATACGTACAGGACAAGTGTCCGTGCTGCCATCCATTTTACCAGCACACATCTGATGTTTTCTCATTCTTAGCCAATTTCTATGATAGCTGTATGATAGTGTATTGCTACATTGCTCAAAATTAAATACGTCGAGCACCGTTGATTGAAGGTCCACAGAACTATTTTTTTTCTCACCTAAAAATAGTATTTATAATCTATACATATAATAAAATTGTAACTAAGCCGAATCTGTACATTAAATATTTTTTGGAAAATCTTATTGAAATAGACAATATTATCGATACAGAGGCCGAATCTATAGTTTTTAGAATGTCTGTCTGTCTGTTATCACATCACAGCAAAACCACTGGAGGGATTTTGATCAAATTTGGTATGGTGATAGCTGGTTATTCGGGTCAACATATAGGATACTTTTTATCGCGGGAAAGTGTTTCACTTCTGAGAAAAAAATTACAAAAACTGCAATATAAGAGTATAGTAATATGTAAAACTTAAGAATTTGGTTTTTGGTCATCTGAACGCGGGCAATGCTAGTGTTTTAATATTATTGTACTTTACTGTGTATATAAAAATGAAGGATGATGAAATTTAGTACACAGATAGATCTGAAGTAGTACATAGGGTTCTATTGGTAATAATATTTGTCAAAAGGTGGCACTGTACTTGGTTACTAGGTAACTGACTCGAGCAAAGTGAGGGTAAGTAGAACTTTTTATACTACAAATAAAAATAAATGATATAATTTTAGAGAATAATGTATAACATAATCAGATTTTTTGACTGTTGTATTCAATATATGTATAAATGTTTAATATTCGGGTAAACATAATACTTTCTTAGATTTACGCGAATATTTGACATTTTAAATAAAACTATCTTTTCGGATTATTTCGCGGATTTATTGTGATTTTTGGTTTTCGACGTTTCGAATGCTTTACAGCAATGATGGTCACGGGAGAGTGTCCAAAAAGATAGTTTTATTTAAAATACTCGGGTAAATTTAAAAATGTATTAAAATTCCATAGATTTCATCTTTAAATGCCATAAATTTATATATTCAACCACTTTAATAATAAGACAACTTACCTAATGCACCCCAACCGGTTGCTGTTAATTGGGTTTGAATAATGTCAGAGCTGACCATCAAACACGCCGGGTGAACTAATTTTGTAAACATCACATTTTCTTTTAACTCTAATAATGCAATATCAAAATATTTTTTCGGAGATTTATAGTAGGGATGAGGTATTATGTGCTTTATTTCTTTAATTACGGGTAGTTCGTTGAACTTGACATCCGGTCCCTGGAATATAATTTATATTACTACTAGCAGAACCCGCGGATCGCTCGCGTTAAAACTACAAAAAAACTCTAAAAATTTAGGTTTCATACAAACTTTCATCCCCTATTTTACCCCCTTATGAGATGAATGACGAAAAATGCCAAAACACGTATTTATTTAATTGTATTGAAGTTCCAAATAATTCTAATAATAAATATTTTTTTGAGTTGTATTATAACGTCTTTTCTCGTGGGAATAAGATAATTCCCCGCGGTAAAAAGTAGCCTATGTTGCTCTCCAGTCCTCTAACAAACAAACAAACAAACACACTTTCACATTTATAATATTAGTATGGATTAGTTATGTAATATTCGTACAACTATTGACTATTACTATGTTTTAGATGAGTATAGGTATAAAAATTGTTATATATATTATTTTCAAATTTAATAGCGGACAACAAGTAGTAAACAAAAAAATACAATGAAATGACAATCATATTATGTTGTTTTAAGGTTTTTTTTAAATATGTTTATGTAAATTGTACATCTTACTTGGGAATTGAACCTAGCTTTTGCTTTAGTACAAGATTCAGCTATTAAGAACAAGATCAATAGTCTGGCCTTTTTAGTCGGCGAGTCTATACATCTTGTATGTATGCAGATGGTATGTCTAAATATATTTACCAGCGTTAAAAAAGGAGGTTAGTCATCTAAATTAGTAGTAGATTCAAAAATATAAAATTTGTCTAAATATATTATATATTTACTGCCGAAAACAATAGACTCTAAGGTAAAAATATCGTATATTTATTTCAAAATTTAAAATAAACGTTTTATATCTATATTTTCCTGTACATATCGCTTAATTGTAAACTTACGTAAACATTTGTTGCTCCCAGTCTGACGATTTGTGGAGTGGACGTTTTTATTCTAATTGGTTTGTGTTTTGTACAATGAGCTGCAGTCAATACAAATTTATGGCTAATTAAGGAACCGCCACATAAATATACCCATGTATCGTCCAATGCTTTCCAGCCCAAAGCAGCCTGTATAAGCAATTGAATTGAATTAAAATTTAAATTCAAAATTCTTTATTCAATATTGTTCCAATAGGTTTACACTATTACATTGTAAAAGACGTTTTTTGTCGTATAATTATATGTAGCACTGCAAACTTGGTACATTTGTCGTCCATTGTATTGTTAAAAAACATATACGGCAATATACGTTTAACGGATACTCGTAGGACTTTTCAAGCAAACTGAATGAACTTTAACATTGAATCGGAGCCTTTTACACAATTTTATCTTGTAAAGATCTCGCTTTTTTCAGTTTAGAATCGAATACCGTAAAAAACGTAACGGTTAATATAAACCCAGTTTATATAGTTACAAACACGATTACTCATAAGCTTTCGTTATATCTATAGATACTTATATAAAAAACTAAAAAAAAGTATGTTTGTATATTTGAATGCCCTAATTTTTGGATTTTATTTATTGATGAACGTTAGGCTATCCTATATTATACTAGACTATACTACTTACTACTTAGTACTAATACTAGTCCTACAACCTACGAGAGGGGAGTGATTCCACAAAATTAAGCGACGTGGGCGGAATCGTCTGTTGTTTAATATACGAGTAAATATCACATGATTGTTTTTATTTACCATATGTGGAAATTCAACGATCTTGGCAGGTTTACCTCCAGCAATTGTATAGTGTTTTCGACCTGTGAATTTGAAATTTCATAATGAATCATGATGTCTCGTGCTACCTGGATGATAATTCAGTAGACGTACGGTAATGAGTTTTTTAACCAGAAAATAAATTTAGCCATTTTTAATATTTAGTTATGAGAAATGCATGAATAAATATTTGTATGCTTTTTTTATCTTTATGTTTACTATTTGTGTTTTGTTTGTTTATATATAATTTTCCATATTTTTATAGTTAAAGTGTAATATTTTTAATATGTTTGTAAACAATCTTTAAACTAATAAATGTAAGAAAATAATTAGTTAATTCAACGTCTTTAAAATTCTTTAAAAAATATTATTTTTCCGGGAGATTATTTTTTCTACATCTGGTAACTTAACAAACACATCAATGTCTCTACTAGGTAGACAAAAAGTGCACAAAAAGTTTGGGAAGCATTTTTGCGTGGCTTCAAGTTTACTTCTATGAAGTTCTATCTATATTATTCTTTTAGTATGAGGTATAGATAGGTATATGTATATATGTAATACACATATACCTATGTTAATAATAAATTATATATAGTAAAAAAAGGTATACTCCTTGTCGTTACTTACACTCTCTGTCGTAATTTTGTCTTGCGATTCGATCTTGCATTTCCCACTTATATTCCTCACATTCTGAAAAATTTGAGAAAAAAATATATATTTTCTCTTGGTCATTTCAGTTCCTTGTGGGATTTTAGTTTATAAACTTTCTGAAATATTCAAGCCTAACAAAAGCGTGGGCTTATAATATAATTCAACCCTTTTTAACGTCACACTGCCTTCTCAATGCAACAGGGACTAGGCAGTAGTCGACCACGCTAAGTAAAAGCTGATTCGCGGATTAAACAAATCTTTTAAAAATCTTGTAAGATTTTTCGATATGCAACTAGTGAATTATCTATATATAAATATGCAAAGACAAAACAGTTTACTAGCTTCTTTTCATCGTGGAGGTTTAGTGTTATCAATAAAAATAAAAAATCGGTCAAGTGCGAGTCGGACTCGCACACGAAGGGTACCATAATCGTTGTTTTTAATTAGCATGGCAGCCATTCTGAAATTCGCCGTGTTAGTTTTTTATTATTTGTTGTTATAGCGACAATAAAACTACACACTCAGCGAAAATGTCAACTCTCTCTCTATTACGGTTCATTAGACATAGCCCTCTGACAGACGGACGGACGGACAGCGGAGGCTTAATAATAGGGTGCCGTTGGCACCTATCGCGTACGGACCCCTAAAAGTGATTACGGAATTTCGACCTCTGGGTGAATTCTAATAAATCTTAAATAACCCATGATTCATTTCTTATCTGATGAGCCTTAGTTTATATTGATGCATCCCAATTGAAGTTACTTTACATATTAATATATTATGTACAATGAATTAAAAATCAAAACTTATGGCATATATGTATGTATATAAATATACGTTGAATATAACGAGTTCCATATTATACAAAGCAACTTGTATTGGACACAATAGTCTTTTCTAATTTCAAGCATACTATACTCCACACGGTCCATGAACATTTTTTTTAATATTTGATCATATAGAATACATAGGTTACTATTAGAAACAAAAAAATACCAAAAGGTAGCACTTCCGGTATGTATGTTTACATCTATACATACGAGTATAATAAAATTGTAACTAAGCCGAATTTGTACATTAAATATTTTTTGGAAAATCTTATTGAAATAAACATTATTATCGATACAGAGGCCGAATCTATAGTTTTTAGAATTTTTGTCTGTCGGTCTGTCTGTTTATCTGCTGTCTGTCTGTCATTAGTGCTAAAATAAAAGAGTAGCTAGAATAAGCATAAATATAACTAGAATAATATATGGCATTGATAACATTATTAAAATTGAATGAATTTAAGGAAGTGATTGAAATGAAAAATATGATATAAATGAAATGAATAAATCAAAAATAACAAAACTTACTTTTTTCGCTTATTCTTCCTTTAAAAGTTAAAAAATTAGGCTTTACAGATTTATACCTTGGACAAATCTTACCCCTACGGCCATGTCTAGGTTGGCGATATCCAGCAAGAATGTCTAGAAAAATAGAATATATATAAAATTTCATTTTTCACACTTGAATAACGTGTAGAGTGTACGTAATTGTATATTTTTTTTAAATAAAAATCGTACAAATGCAAATCTGACTCACACACTGAAGCTAGCATCTAACTTCTGGAGCATCTGACATTATAGTTACGTTAAAGGTATAATGAAATTACCCATTTGTACAATATCTACTCGTATTTTATAAGTGTTTGGATTTTTATATACTTATTGGCATGAATAAGTTTTTACATGATATGACTACAAAATTTCAGTAATATCACTTTGATGATCCAGGAGTAAAATGACATTGATATATGGATGGAGGGATATGACGTAATTATTAGGGTTACGTTTTAGCCTTTTAGTTATGGAACCCTAAAAAGATGTTATTGAATTATTCTTTGTATAAATAATTATAAATAATTCATTCCTGTAGCTGCTTAAGTGTCTCATTGAATTGGAATATACATATATACCGCACTTATGTTTCTATTCGTATATATCGTATAAACTATGTTCGTATCGTATCGTATCGTATACTACCTACTCACCCTCGCTTTATTCGGGTTCTTCCCTAGGGGATTTTTTAAATGAGTATAACTTTTTTATTTATGAATTGAAATAAAACAAATACTAAATGTTAAGTAAAGTATACCACAAACATTAGAGAAAACCCGCACCTAAATCGATTAAGCCGTTTCTGAGATTAGCGCCCATAAACGTACAGATAAACAGACAAACCAACAAACAGATAAAAATTGAAAATTTTTTTTTGTTTACGTTAAAAGACTCCAATAATAATACTTTCTTAGATTTACGCGAATATTTGACATTTTAAATAAAAATATCTTTTCGGATTATTTCGTGGATTTATTTTGATTTTTGGTTCCCGACGTTTCCAATGCTTTACAGCAATCATGGTTACGAGAGAGACTAAGGTGATAGACGTCTCAAACACGTATACTTGTTACAGACAGTGCCTACCCACTACTTTACAAAAATGATTTCAAAAATTCAAAAGTGGAACTAAAGTACCTTACAATATTTGTTGATTTTTATTTAAAAAAATTATACTACGTATTGTATTATAATGAAATATAGCAAAAAAGATAGTTTAATTTAAGACCCCAATAATAGTTTTCACAAATATCTTCTAGGTACAGACAGTGATCAGTTGTACTTTCATTATATGTATAGATGTCTGGACGTCATACTAAAGACGTTTCGTCATTTTAAGAGAAATATGGCAGCCTTCATTTACATGTTATTATAAAAGAAATCAATGTAGCACATAGTTCGAACATACCTGTACTAACTAACACGAAAATTATGATTAAATTACAATTTAACCACATATCGACACTATCACTTACAATAATATTATATTCAATTAATAATTAATGTATATTATAATTGTACGTGATGAAGTGACCACAGTCGACACTGTAACTGAAGTGATTGATTAAAGATGACGTTATAAATACATCCTGTTTAGTATGATTTTACCAAAAGGATGTTGCGTGCGTCACAATGCTTTTGGTTAACCTTGCGAAAAACTACAAGGCACAAGTTTAGAATAGGGGACATTGCCCCTGGTGGAGTGGGTGGTATTTCTAGATAGGGGACGTGATAGGGAGTCGAAATGTTACATAAAAAAATTTCCGGAAACGTACGAGTAAAAAGTTATTGAGACTTAAAGTTACAACATTTCCATACATTTTCATATATTTCTTTACCACCATTCGGAGTGGGTGGTATTTATTTTATTTATATTTTTTTTAGGGGAGGTGACAGAGAGTCAAAATATATTAAAAATATTTGGAGGAAACGTACGAGTAAAAAGTTATTGAGACTTAAAGTTATAACTTATCTAACACATTTCCATACATTTCTTTACCTAAATAAGCGATTACAACAGATAAACATACCTTTAACGAATAGTACGCATCCTTTTTTATGTACAATACATATTTTCACAACAATTAATGCTTTATTGTATTTAATATTTTAATAATTTCACAACACAAACAAAATGATCTTACATTTTGACAAAAGCAAAACTGTCACTTTGTTTTATATTACCGCTTAAATGACAACAGATTATATTTGATTATTTTTGCTTTTTCTGTTGGTAATATTAATAAATAAATAAAAAGAAAAATATTATTTTCACTTCATAAATACATTATTTATTTATTATTCGTCATATCTTGGTTAGGTTAGGTTAGAACATTTAAGATTATTTATTTATTATTCGTCATATCTTGGTTAGGTTAGGTTAGAACAGTTGCCACAACGCACGAGCCGAGCGAGCGAAGCGAGCGTGCCGCGGTAGCGGCCGGCGAGTGCCATAAATGACTAGAAAACTAAAAAATTCTAATTTCACGCAAAGTACAAATAAAGACAATCATCTGGAGATCAATTGAAAGTGACGTTTTGACATTTCCAAGTGTCTAAATGGTAGTAATGTCAAAATAATGTATGGAAATGTTGTAACTTTAAGTCTCAATAACTTTTTACTCGTACGTTTCCGGAAAATTTGTATGTAACATTTCGACTCCCTATCACGTGCCCTATCCAGAAATACCACCCACTCCGCCAGGGGTAATGTCCCCTATTCTAAACTGCAGCCAACTACGATAACATTTTCTCAGATTTACGCGATTATTTAAATCTATACATATAATAAAATTCTGAGTCGAATCTGTACATCTTATTATTTTATCATGAATACTTTTTGGAAAATCTTATTGAAATATGTATTATTATTGATACAAAGGCTGAACCTATAGTTTTTAGAATTTTTCTGTCTGTCTGGGAGCGCATCACAAGAAAACTACTGGACAACATATAGGATACTTTTTACTACGGGAATACATCTCATTTCTGAGAAATCTGTACTAAACTTTAAAACGTATCTAGGGACAAACCCGAGCGGAGCGAGGTTGAGTCGCCAGTAGCATATTTTAAGGTTTCTAACGTTTCGGATACTGTACAATAATCATTTTCACGGTAGAGATTAACGTTTTTTTGAGGCGTTATCACACATCCCCGCGAGGGTAGTGAAGAAATGTATCGTATATAGATGTATAGTATATAGTGAAGAAATGTATAGCCTTCCGACCTTAGTGTCAATCGACGTTCACTTATTTGAGCGCGTCCCTGAGAGTCCATTTTCTAGGACTTGTGATGGAAACGGACAGGTGAGAGCTATGTGTCAGCCTAGCCGGGTGAGATCTTGAGTTTCCCTGAGAAGATCGAGCTAGGTTAAGGTTTTTGACGTTTTAAAAATTGTATAATTATTACAGATGGCATCGATTACCAAAATGATTGATAATAATAATGTATTATTTTATGGGTAGATGCTGAAAATAAAGCTAATCTTATTTGTATGTTAAAATAAATATGAAACGCGAGTTAGTTGAAACTGAGGTCAAGGGAAAAATTATGTTGTTTCTAGTCGAGCTTTGGTGCGGCGGTATAGTTTGTATACCCCCCCCCCCCCTTCACACATCAAAATAAACTTTACAAAAGA